CAGGTAGACACTACAGCACTCACCAGCCCTCGTGCCACCAGTGCCCACCAGGCCACCAGTATCAACCATACCCACTAGCATTAACTCGTCACTAGGTAAACAAGGCACACACTAGCCACAGAAACAAGTGAAACCAGCAATCACATGTGTAAGGAAACTGTATAGGTAAACCGCCCTGCCACCACCGCTCCCTGCGGGAATTATGCTTGACCGATCAAGTAGCCTCACAACTTACAGCTCTCACTGACCCACTTGACCCATAACCAGTGTGCACCATATCTACCTCCTTATTTTAAAGGCTAAATTGAAGTTTCAAAATTAAATGGGGGATGCTTATTTTAAAGTTCAAAAATTAATAGTTGTATAACTAAACATAAATTTGCTAAATGCCTCTCTTTCTCTCTAAAATATCTCTGTCTCTCTAAAAAGGTCTCTTTCCCTCTAAAAAAAGAACTTCTCTTTCTCTCAAAAAAGTAGATCGAAATCATTACAAGTACTAATTTGTTTGTCATCTAGTTTTAAATTAAAGTAAAAGCTCAGTTTTAGTTGCATGTATATATATAGGCTGATTACAAGTACTTTAATCTATAGTTTACAGTTAATGTCTTAGACTAGTTTGTTACAATACCTTCCTCAGCTCTCTTTCTCTCTAAAAAAAAGAATCTCTTTCCCTCTAAAAAGAACCTCTTTCTCTCAAAAGAAGTTGATTTAAGTAGATTTCTGGATCAGCTGTTCTTCTTCTCTTCAAATTCCTCTTTCCTCCATTTGTCTAGTGGCTCCTGGTGTAGCTGGTATCGTAGTACAATAGTATCAGCTCTGAAATGTTCTCTTTAAGCTCACAAGATACAGCAAAAGATGGAATTATTCATGATGAATGTTACTTCCATAAAAGAATCTATCTTGAAAAGTTGAAATCCCCTCTCAAGTCTGCTTTCGTCCCCCTCTCTTTCTCTCTCTCAAAAATTAGTAACTTTAATAAGAAGTGTCATACTAGACTCTGCTTATTAGCTCTCCCTAGATTATTTGTATATTCCCAGCCAATGTGTACTACTAATATTTGAAAGGGAATCAAATGGAGGATGCTCATCTGCTCCATTAATGCTCAATGCACAAAAATAATTATATCCAAGTTTTAATATTAATCTTTAACTTGAGTATTGTTTACATATGGTATGCATTAGGCTTTTAGTATCCTATTGGGCCCATTGGGTATTGTATCCTATTGGGCCCATTGGGTATTGCTATTCTCATCACTCACCTCACGCATATCACCCACCATGCACACAATAATATTTAATTAAAGCCTTTGTTTTATAATTTTTAGTTTCTATATTAATAGTTTTACATGTACTTTTGATTTTATATGAATAAAGTTGGTAATTGCATGAATTGTTTAAATTATTTTGTATTTGGAGTAATAGTTATACTCTTACATGTACTATAGGTTGTCAAAAGTTTTTGTTTTGGTTTTGAAGCTAATTTCAAGTTTTACATGTGCTTTAATCTCATACTCAATTTGAGGAAAGGTAGCATTGGAATATAAGAAATAAGAGGGGGATTAAGAAAAGAGGAACAGAGAAAAGATGGAAAGAAAAGAGGAGAAAGACATTCTAACCCTGGGGGTAATCCATGAGCAGATCCATGATAGATGATGAAAGGCTAATATCTTCTTTTTTTAAATATCAATATTACCATTATTACCTACAGCGACAAGAAGGCATGCTGTATTTATGCAGCTACCTGACCTCTCTTGAACACTGCAAACAGCAGTCAGTTTTGACTAACTGTTGACCGACCAGACACACACACACATACACACACTATATTGGCAATAGATGAATTGAATTCCTACATCCCAGCACACACCAGTCAACATATCTGTAGTAATATTACCTCGTGAGGAAGATCCTGTCAAGAATGAAAAGCTGGACACACTAATGAGGGTGTGTATGTGGGTTGGGTACAAACCCACACACCCACACCCACTAACGTGTTATTGCAATCAATGCACCAGCTTTCCATTCTTGACAGGATCT